ACACACACACACACACACACACACACACACAGACACACACGCACGCACACAGAATACTGGGAGAAGCTGTAGAAAGATATGGACAAAAAATGCAAAACTTTATACAAAACATATACAAGAACATCTGTTTATGGTCACTTCGTATCAAACTACTTTGCCCTCTTGACCATCATAAACTACCAGAGGTACCCGTTTTATTTTCCTTGCCTGAGTCAGTACTGAGTTGTACCACCGGAGGTCGCTGTCAGCCACAGTTTCAGGCAGAGAGGGGTTGCTGCTGCTCATCACGTTGGGCTCAGTCATCACAGAACCCAGGGAGCCGTTCACCCTCAGGATCCGAGACCTGACGAGAGAGGACCGAGTCTGGAGAGGGACAGAGATGAGAGTGACCAAGACCTGATCCCTGATATGATCATAAAGATTGATTTCCAAAAAGGATAAGCGGAGAAAGACTTCTACATGTAGGTGTGGAGTGATTCTGGCAGTGAAAGTGACACTTTCTCACCCACTTCTAAATCTAGTGACATCAAATCTGTGGGAGCGATGTGTGACAGAGTGCTGCACATAAATGCACTGTATGAATATGTGTGTTAGTGGCAAAACTGTACTGTAAAGTGTGTTGAGTGGTCATCAAACTAAAGCACTGTATCACGATAAATTACCATGTGATATTGTTTGAATGGATGTTTGTCACTGCTTGTCTGTATCTTGTTTTTTTCTCTTAAACCTAAACCACATTGCCTTCAGGATTAATAAAGTTGTGTTGTTGTGAATTAAGCCCACTAACCATTCTGTTTGTGGATATTTAGGGATATTTACACCCCCATCTGAAATACACAAGGTGTTTTTAAAAACTGCCCTGTACCTCTGCTGAATCTTCTTTGCAGTAGCCGAGCCTAGTTCTGGTCTCCATGTTGTCCTGCCGGGTTCTGTTCTCGTGCAGCCGCTGGAGGTACCAGAATCGAGCCCTCTCCAGAATCTCCAGCCCAGACCACAGGGCGTCCTTCTCTCTCTCTAGATCCTTCTGGCGCTTAATCTGAAATAAGATGAGTGATGATGATAAATATGGATTTATTTATTCTCCTGTAAACTCCACTGTGAACTGAACTAACTGAAAAATGGATGGGGGGGTGTCCCAGTGGTCAAAAGGTTTAATGTGCAAACCATGCAACCACAACATCCTTTCATTTCCTGTCACACAGTATTTCCACTCTCTACTTTCTCATTAAGACCCAAAAATCTAGAGATTAATCATAGACCCAGTTCTGTGGGGTGCATGTTTGTTTACATGTTTATGGACGACTAAACAATCCTGACCACTGCTGACCCGGCTGGGCGGTAAAGTGACTGGCACAGTGCGGCCTGTTGTCTTCCAGAGGCCCCAAGGCTTTTGTCTCTGAGCGGAGCCAATCTACAGAGCAGCAGGAGGCCTTTTACTGCCATTGTCTACACTCAGCTGGATAACATGCACATGGGCCTGAACAGAGGTACAGTAACCGTGCTCCAGCAGGCAGGGAATCGTAAAACGTGGTGGTGATGTTCCACCTTTGGCATCATGAGGTCAGGGCGTCGTGATCACTTTGGTCACGGTACAGGAGATCAGCATCCAGCTATAGATTAGGAGGACATTAGAAACTCATGACACTATAGCATCACTGGTGAATGACTAATATAGTCTATCTAAACATTTTTCAGGTGATGCAAATAAGTTTCACCACTGGAAGTCTAGAGTCGGTGGAAACCTGGTTACGTGCACCGAGGCTTTAGCAGAAGACTGTGAGGAGCAGACCTGACATGTGGGAATGTGTCACTGGTCTGACTGCAGCCGTGCTGCCTCCAAAACAACCCTCAGGGAACACAAATGGAAAATCGAAGTATTTTTGGATAAACACAAGCAGCATGAAACGTTATTTTCTGTTGGATTTATATGAATAATTCACTTCCCCTTTACAAATCAGATTTTAAGAGGATTCAAGGTGAAAAATTACTTTTTTAAATGCAAAACAGATTAGTAGTTATTAATTAGGGTTATTCTCTTTATATTAATATTCAGTCAGAGGAGGTAAGAGTCTACATGTCACTGATTAGAGACTTGTTTGTTGGTTGGATTGTAAACAAGATTACACAGAAACTACTGAACAGATCACCATGAAACGAGGTGGAAGGATGTGGGATTTGTCAGGAAAGAGACCATTACATTTTGGTGTGGTTCCGGATCAGGGGATGGATCCAGGATACTTTTTCCTTTTCTTTAACATTGTGAGAGAGGACGTTTTTTCCCAGAGGTAATCCCTGGATCTTGATGAAAACTAATCAGGCACATTCTAGTTTCTATTGGATTTATATGAATACTTCCTTTCCCCTTGAAAAAAAACATTTTAAACTCATTTAAAATGAGATCACGATGAGTGAAGTGATCTCCTAAAATGAAATATATTTAAAGGGGGGAGGGTTAGGCTCTTCATATTAAAATCCAGTCAGACAAGTCATATGTCTCTAATTAGATAACTGACTAACTATGAATTCAACTCTTTATCAAACCCCTTTGTGTTTTTGATTTTAAGCCAACAGTCCCCTCATGAAACCACATTTAAATTCACCATATATTCACATGAAATCTGCAGAAGATACAATTTGAGAGAAAATATTCAGAAATATTATTAAATCATGAGACTTTTTGGAGTTAATGAAAAGATTCATGGTCAGATGCTGCACTACGTGGAATCATGACTAGTTTCAAGGGTTAAAAGATTCATTAATTAGTCAATAAGTGCATTTTTCCATAATCAATTAACTGGCCTACTTAGATCCTATTTAAGTAAAAATTCTCTTGCTGCAGTGTTTTGTTTCAACGATTATGAAAATGAAAGTTTTTCAGCTCTAGTCAAAACACGTTAACAGCCTCTTCTTCTGCTGCCACTGTACTGAGGCACTCCTTCCTGGACTGGCTTGAACTTGCATGTAGCTACTTTCAATGAGATGTTTAACATATATGAACATGTACAGAACCGAATGTTGTTTAACCTCAGATTCAATACAGACACATGAACAAAAAACACTTCCTGCACAAATATGTGCCACTTTTCATCTAGTATCAGTTAAAACTGAAATGTAAACGTTTGGAAAAGTAAAAGATCTGGTTGTGGAAAAAGGCCAAATGTGCCAAAGTGGTCATTAATACACAAATTTGAGAAGCGGTCAGTTTAGTGATAAGTCAAAATTTAGAAGTTCACTTCATTTAGAAGTCATATTGCCGACTGTTCATAAAAAACTGAAAACACAGGAAGAAAGAAACATACGAACTCACAAGGTCGAATCACTGACACACACACAGGAGAGATGCAACTGATTACAATCCAAACCACACACACACACTTTGTCCCCCCTCCTCACCCATAGGTAGAAGCGCAGTGCGTCCAGGCTGTAGAGGCTGGTCCTGAGTGGGATGATCACCACTGTGTAGGAGCCTGAGCTGGAGGGATGACAGGCCATGGAGAGGAGATCAGTCACTACTGACGTCCAGGATACTGCCCCATACAGCCGCCTGCACAGCAAACAACAAACCACAGTGGCTGACTCGGAATAATAGCACAGGGAGTGAATGAGTGTGTGTGTTTGAGAGACAGAAGGCAGGAGTGGAAAAAAAATGCAGCAGCACGATACACAGGCACAGGCAGCGTGGTGCCCCCAGGGCGAGGTAATGAAAAATTCCACATGTCACTGCCATGACTGGTTCATCGACATAAAGTGACACACGCAAACACACACACACATAGAGAGAGAGAAAATAATGAGAGGTGGAGGGAGGGTAAAACTGCCTGTTGAGTATCTGGTATAAGAAAACAATAAATGGCATATAGCAGGAAATGTGACATTTCAGAGGAGGGTGTAGCTGAACATTATTTTTCATCATAAGTCTAAGTTTTAAAAAGAAACAAGGAAGAGGAACAACAGAGCTTTGTGCTCAAGCGTCGGCCGAATTCTCCAGGAATCACATCATCCTCTCGGCCGAGGTGCAAACTCGACTTTCGATCTGCTCAATGAGAAGAGCGCACAGGTGTGTTATACTCTCTTTGTCCCAACACGTCCCTCCATGTTGGAATGTGACATAACCTGGGGACGAGCGCGCCAGTGGACGTTACAGCTCCATTAAATGTGTTTATGAGAGCAGAGAGGGGATGGATGCAGGGTGGAGCAGATGGATTTCAGCCACAGTGCATTGACGTTCTTTCTATCAGTGTCGGCAGTGAGAAAATCACTGGCACAAGTAACACCCCCACAGGCCCAACTGGCTGTCTGATATGTGAAGGAAGAGTGTGAAGATTTATTTCAACAACTGGAATTTCATCATGTGACAAGCTTTCTCTGACCTTACTTTCCCTATTTGAACCCTGGCTTCTAACCTTAATATTAGTTTATGATGTTTTTTAATGAAAGAAAAAATAAAGGAGCTGACAAATAAATACAGAGGAAATAAGAGTTTCCCTCTGAAATGTAATATAGAAGTTTAAGTAGCATGAAATTGAAAGTAAAGTGGTTTGTAAAGTTGTTTTTACAAAATTGTACTAAAGTAACTTTCCATGTCTGCACCAGTAACTACTAGAAGAAAGTTTAATTAAGGTAATAATGGACTGTTTCATTTGCTAACGTATCATTTCCTTTAACGCAAACGTCAGAGTTGTAGTTTTACAATACCCCTTTTGGATTATACAGTTATTTAATATATTTTAACCAACCAGATAAAGGATTCATGTAATTGGATGCATGGATTATAAATTATCAGAGAAACAACCTGAGCAGACAATAGCAGCAGCTTGGCTCAGCCTGTGCAAATTGTCTCGTGCAAGAAAAATCCAGAATTTAAAAACAATTTGTTCAGTGTTTTCAATGGCAGATCTGGTTTAAATGGCAGATCTGGTTTAAATGGCAGATCTGTAGGTTTTGGAGGAAGAGGAGACCTCTGCACATAGATGAACCTACTGAACGATTGAAGGGATCCAACTGGGAGAAGATGACTGCAGTGACAGGCGATGGTGCTGAAGACAATTCTGTAACTCCCATAATCCCATCCATCTTCATAATGTTTTGACAGAGAGACCCCTGGTGGCAGAAATGTGCATTAGAGATACATATCTTTCCAACAATATTATATCCTTTATGTTGACACTTGTTACTTTAATTAAATATTTTTCAGATAGAGTGTTCCAGCTTCAGTGTTCACTGTCAGAACAGACCGTAAATAGATAATGTATCTAACAGACAAAGGTGACATGGGGACAGTATTGAGCTGCATTGTGGGAAATGTAGGATCCAGAGTTTTTGTAATTAAAATATGAAATTGAGTTTTGATTGTCTAGAGGCTCAGTCTGTTTCTCCTGAGGATAAACCTCCCTGTTAAACTCTGTCAGCACAGGTCCAGCCTGCTGACAGCTCATAGGCTGCAGTCCTGCTCTTTCACCAGCAGGAGACGCTCTAATTGAGGCTAAATTCAGACAGAGCTGACATTTTGTAACTCCTGATATTTTCATTAGATTTTGCAGCTGTAGTCTCCACAAAACACCAGGTGGCGCCACACAACACAGATCCAGAGAGCTCAGGAGCACGTCAAGTGTTGTCAGCCTCTCTCCACCCTGAGCTGGGGTCCACTTCAGAGATTTCAACTTGCATAAGACGCGACATGTTCCACTCAAAGGGCTCGTAGTTTCATTTGTATCTACATTCTATCTATATCTTTATTACCCGCTGAAAATCAACATGAACCTCATCTCATTGATTCAAGATGAAGAAACTAAATGGTCACTTATATATACTGTAGATAATCCCTCAAGGCACTGGAAGCTGAAGTTATGTCGTTTTTTTCACGTGAGCACAGTTCACTGAAAACAAGGGATTAAGCTGCTATATAGAGGAACGTCTCTCTCTCTGAGCTGTAGCATCCCTGAGACAGACCCTGAGGGGAACCCATGACCCTGCGTTGTCTTATAAGACATGTGACCGTCATCAGAAAAGAGCCTAAAGCTCTGGAGGGCCTCCTGATACAACGAACAGATTTAGCTGATTTTAACCTTTGTGGGGTAAAAACCGATTTACAAGAGATGTAAGTTGAGGAATTTATAATTTTTTTTCACCATTATCACGAAGACGGACAGAGATCACGCTGAGCTTCCTCTGTGGGCCCCCTAACAGGAAGTTCGTCGTCAAACAAAAAAGTGTAAATATATATACGCAAGACACATTTCACACATGCATTCACTTTGCCAGGGTGTATTTACAAGTTTTAAATACACACATTTATATCGTACACATATAGCAGTGAGATGTTTCCCTTCACTTTTTAGTCACTACTGCGGCAAAGAGTGGGCCCCTAGATGCTTCCTGTCTCCCTCCTTCTCTCACACACAAACACACACTCGCATGCATATTTGCGCCCTCACTGTCACTACAATTTTCATGTTTAAACCACGAGGAATGAGAACGACACACACAGACACACACAGACACACACAGACACACAAACCCGAGCAGCTGGAATGGTATGCACCTACATCGTTTCACCCACACTCATACACACATAGTTTACACACAAACACACACACACACACACACGCACACACACATACATATATAATTGATACAATATTACAAGCCAAAAGAAGCCTGGTGCTCCCTCCGCCTCTCTGGCCCACGCCAGCTCTGTCCAGTCAAGGCTCACTGTTCCAGATCATAGCTCCCAGGAATCTGAAAGATATGTAACCCCCTCAGACTCACTCTCTCTGTCTCTCTCTCTCTCTCACACACACACACACACACACACACACACACACACACACACACACACACACTTACATGACAGAAGTGTCTCTCGAGGGGCCTCATTAGAGACTGACACTCACCTCCTTCTCTTTAGACACAAAATCCTTTCACTGGATTTCAGAAAAACAAATCTTACTGTAGAACCAAGTGGTGCTAAGACAAAACTTGCTCCACTGGATGTATTCATGCACCCAAGGTATTTAACATAGAACACAGTGTAAACGCACCAAACTGAAACCTCACAGATTTGGTTTCTTTGCCTAAATAAAACTGGGATCAGATGAAGACAACACTGAGGCTACAGCAGCAGCTCTCAAAAAAATAAATCCAAAGGTTTATGAGCAGATTTGTGAATATGGACGATACAAATACAATACTGGAAAAATTACCCAAGTGACAGTAGTGCTTCAGTAGTGTAGTGTTTCCTCCCCCACTTGTGACCCCCCCCTTCAGCTGTAGTAATCCACCTGGTAAACATGCATGTGCTATGTGTGTGCAGCTTATTAACATCACATGCCTTCAGGGCTCTGCTCTTCACATTTTCCATTTGACAGCTTAGTTAGAGTAACCGGTTTTCCCCAGTGGAAATATTGAGCACCATTGACACTGACCACGTTTCAACGCTTTCTCCCTTTTTATTCTTGAAATTGTTTGTTTCAAGTTACCTCACACAAAATCCTCGGACGTCCTACCTATAAGTCCAGCAGGCCCTGTTTCCAAACCATGGGCCCCCAGCACAGGGTCTCCAAATATCAACAACCCCCTTTAGAAAATTGGAGACCTCTTCTTTCCTCCTCTCTTGTACCATCTCTCGCTTCCTGATCTTCCTTCTTACAGTTTACACACACAGAGTCCCCTTCTCATCCAATTAACCCCTCACCATGCCTCGTCACGCACTCACATCCGAAACTCCCAAACATATTTCATGTCTTCTCCCTCTCTCTCTCACAAACACACATATTGTCACGCTCGCCTACGAGGCCCGACACTGCACGGCCAGGGCCAGATGTAAACCAGATGTTCCCACCAGATGGAGATAACAGCGAGAAACACATCAGCTGAAGTGTACCACCTTTTCACCTCAGCTGCAGGGAGCAGAGACAAGACAGTCCACTGACACAAGCAGTATATTAAGTTTATAAGAGTCATTCCTGCAGTTGCTTACATTTACAGTATGTGGCATTGAAGATCAGTGTGTAGATTACCAGATAATAGTGGTTTAATTGGGAAGCATCATTATATGTCAAATGTTGCCTGAAAGAAACATAATTGTTCTAGTTTTGCTTGACTCTGACATGATGCTTCGTGTTTCCTTGGTTCTGACATTGAACCGGTCTGAAAGTCACTGGCGTGTGACAAAAACAAGTCCCCCTCACACACACACATGCCAAAGGGACAAAAACAGAGGATCAATTTACACCCACCTCGCACCGCCCTTCAGTCCATCCCCCTCCTCTTCTTCCTCCTCTTCCTCCTCTCCTCTGTTCACACCCACAATCTGCAAAAACAATATTTTAAACAGCGTGATGTTATCACCTCGAACCACATGCTGCACTGACAGGAACAAGAAGGGCCTTAAATGTACAGGTATGTGCACACATGGCGACACACACACATGAATCCTCAGACGGGCCACCACTGCTCAGAGAAAAAATAAATATATATGTTACACCAGACCCCCCCAAGGAAAGCCCCCGAGGAGCCCCCCAAAGCAAACACACTGAGTAAGGGTCTTCTTGGGCACATTTCATCTTAAACCCGTTCACCCTGACACGCAGGCTCCCCTGGTGAACCCCTGACAATATCCAGCTGCCATGCAGCGAGCACCAGCAGCCCCCCTCTGCACCCCACGTTTCTGCAGACCTTCCCCAAACACACACACACGTATGAAATCAGAGCACGGCTCACTCCTTCACCCTCCCCCACAACCCCACCTGTGGCCTCCACAGCTGGGCGAACGCTCCCATGGAATCACATCCCACTTACGTATGGAGTGTGTGTGAATGTGTGTGTGTGTGTGAGAGATTTTAGGGTTCACTGCCTTTTGTATTCCTCTGTGTATTTTAGAGTAAGAAAGTTCCAAATTTAGTTTACACCCCAGGGATCATTTGTGTTTATAAAAAGCATATTGTGTTGCTATGGGTATCCCGGCCTCGATAATAAATAACTGTATTTATATAGCAATAAGAACAGATTAAATTATTTACAAGAGGAAAACGTGGAGGTTAAACCAGAGGTTCTCCATTTTTTATTTTTTATTGATGGGGAGAAAATGACAAAAATACATATTTAGGTTTTATTTTACACCCCGCTTCTGTAGATTTCAAATTACTTAACTTTAGAGGTGTGTAGAGGGGTTTGTTCACATGTTATTAGGTGCATAAAATGTGTTATTCCAGAATTTTTTTTTGTTTGTGGTGTTAGAAAGTCACCTTTGACTCTAATGCGATGTCAACAAACTGAAACAAGACATTCTAAAGCTTCACCCATTGTTCAAATGTTTGTTTTCATACACACTTTTGCACATTTTACTTGTATGTCAATGTGTAGTTAAAGGTTCAGAATTTCGTGATATCTAGTGGTGAAGTTGCACGTTAAAACTGAACATCCCTCACATTAACCTACTCTTCTGGACAGGGATCAGTTAATTTTACATATAACCTCCCTGCTGTAGCCTCCAGGTATCCTTCACCTCTGCTGTGCATCGCTTGTTTTTGGTTAGATCTCCATCTACAGTATAAATGTTTGCATATATACATACATGTATGCATGTCAGCACATATGGGTGCTCTGATCAGATGTAATGATGTTTGCAGCTAAACTCAGCACAGTCATGTCCCTAAGCAGTAAGCAGCTTTAAAACCTCGACTGAACGAGGCTTCACACTTTTCTTTCTCTTTCACCTCATTTAGTTTGGATCTTTGTCTTTATCAATGTTCCTACATCAAATCTCTTGCTCATGATTTGTTGTTGTACGTGAGGAAATAATGACTGACGTAAACAAACTACATGTCTGCGGCTGAGGGGCAGAAGGATGTGGAAAGCCCCACGCTGCACCTGTGAACCAACACCGCCGCCTCCTCATCCTGTTCTCTCCGTCACAGCTTCCCCTTCACCAGAGACTTCCTGTTCTTATCAGACTGCCACATGGCACACACAGTGCATCCTCTTAGTGTTTCGGTAAAGAGCAGCTTTAGCACCAAACTCAGAGCTTCAAGGTTTTTACTTGAGCCAGCATGACCTCGGACATGCAGCTATATGGAGCCTGTGTCTCATCCGGAGTGAAACCAAACAGCATTTGAATCTTTAACAATAGGGAGGGAGACAGTTTTACTAATGAAATTAGATGCTTACAGTTTGGCTGTCAAAGAAATAAAAGTACCCTCTTAGTGACCTCTGCAAAGGAGGCCGTGCTTTCACCCCATTGGTTTGTTTTTCTTGGGCGAAAATATGGATTTCCATGAAACTTGGTGAAAGGATGAATCATGATCCCACCTCACTTTCTTTAATGTTGTGAGACAGGACTTTTTTTCCCCAGAAAATAAAAGTGCCCATAAATAAAATAATCGTCATTATTTGTTATTATTGAGTAAATGATGGGCGTCAAGGAATTGTGGGAAATCCACTTTGTCACTTTCTTCCTGAGAACAGCATGAGAAGACTGCTCTCACTCTCGCTGCGCGTTAGAAATAATAAACCACAAATTTCAATTTTAACACTTTGTTTTGAGTGAACTTTGGCAGTTCTTGTTTTCCCTCAGTCTAAATCAACATGGCTGACGTTCCCCCTGTTTTCGTTAAGAGTTTTTGTCATTATGCTACCAGCGTCATATGTGTGGTATCACTCTTCTCATCTAACCTCCGCAATAAAATGAGTACACTGATTTACCGAGATTAATCTTTTTCTTCATTAAGAGTGAGACAGACTCAGTAAGGTGTTTAAATGTGGGTATCCGGTTACGAAAGTCAACGTAAACACATTAAAGAGCTTGAATTCTGCTTATGACACATTTTGTTAAATTATTTTCTGTGATGCTGTTGCTTGGTTTTGAACAAAATTACTCTGCAGGAATATATAAAGTGAATCATATTCCTTTAATAAAGCTATATTTGTATTATTGTCCTCCTGATCTGACATTACATTACATAACTTCCAACTGATTAACACTCAGATCTTTTCAGATTTTCAGACACATAAAGGTGTTTAAATCTGGTTGTTACTTTAAAACACTTAAAAGAGCTTGAAGCCTGCTTATGACACATGTCTTGAATCCATTGTTTGTGTGGCAGTTGCTTAGTTCCTCATCAGCATCCTCTGGAATACATAAGATTCATTATTTAACATTTGTTCACTTTATTTTTGGAGCACCATCCTTCGATTGGGCCTTTTCAAGCTATATTCTCTCCCTGTACTGATAAATGTCCTCAAAATAACATTACATTACACATCACCTACATCTGACTAACACTCAAACAAATACGATTATGGCTGCAGGGTACGTGCGCGTGTATTAACAGCCTCACTGATGTCTTCTTTGTTTGTCTTATTCCACAGTCATTTAGAAACGCTTGAATGAAAGAGGTGAGGTGAATCAGGTGTTTTTGGGAAACATGACGCTCACCATGACATTTCCCATCATCATCTGACCCCAGAGTCACATTACTACTATGTGACTGTTGTTTCACAAGCGCGCACTGTAACGTATTCAAAGGGGGTGCTGACCGTGGAGAGGAGACAATGGGCTTAATGACTGCAATAACCGACTGTAACACAACAACTCAGGATTAACGGTGGGTGGGTGGGGGGTGGCATCAAAACAAACACACACACACACACACACACACACACACACACACACACACACACACACACACACACACACACACA